AAAAATACATATCCAGTCCGTGTGTGTGTTCAGTCATATTCAACTCTTTATGACCACATGGACTGCAACCCACCATGTTCATCTGCCCATGGGATATTCCAGGCAACAATGTTGGAGTGAGTTGCCATTCCCTTCTACAGGGGATCTTCCCAACCCAGGAATAGAACCCACTCCTCTAATATCTCCTGCATTGGCAGGCGTATTCTTTACTACTGAGTCACCTGGGAAGCTCCCAGCCAATCCATACACATGCAAAAAGTAAAATAGACCATATTTAGTATAAGGTCTTCCCAGGTGGGGAACGTGAAAGTGAAAGTGCTCAGTCGTGTCCGACTCTCTACGACCCCATGGACTGTAGCCTACCAGGCTCCTCCCTCCATGGGATTCTCCAGGCAATAATACTGGAGTGTGTTGTCGTTTTCTTCTCCAAGGGATCTTCCCGACTCAGGGATCGAACCCCAGTCTCCTAAATTGCAGGCAGATGGTTTAACCTCTGAGCCACCAGGGAAGACTAGTAGTTGAAACTTCGCCTTCCAATGCATGGGATGCAAGTTCAATCCCTGGTTGGGGAAATAGGTTCCCACGTGCCTCACGGCCAAAAAATCAGAACATACAACAGATGCAATATTGTAAAAATGTTGTAACAAATTCAATGAAGACTTTAAAAATGATCCACTTCAAAAAAAAAAAGAAAACTAAACTTAAAAAAAAAAAGAAAATATAACAAAAAGAGATTGCTTCCTCAAAAGCAACAAAAATGTAAATGCTTAGAATTAACATTAATCTAGAACTACATTGGATAGGAAAATAATTGAAAAGATAACAATTTATTCCTCAACATTATCTATGTATTCAATTCAATCCCAATAAATATCACCACCAAAGCTTAAAACAAAAGCAAAACAAAAACAAAAGTACCTCACAAGAGTTGTACTTGGAAAAATCTAAAATTTTCATAGAAAATTATATGGTAGTCCTAAATTTAAAAATGTGTGCCTGCTTGTCCTGTTCCAGATTTTAATGAGAAGCTATAAACTTTTAAATGTGAGTGTATTATCTGTGGATCTCTCATATTTGAACAGTATCATGTTCAGGTACACTCCTATTTGCAGCGTATTGAAAGTATTTTTATGAAATAATGTGAAAGTTTATATAATCATAAACAACTCAAGGAGAAATTAAGGAAATAACTCCACCACAACATCAAAAAGAATAAAATAGTTAAGAATAAGCTTAACCAAGGAGACAATAGTCTTGTAAATTGAAAACTATAAGCATTACTCAGAGATATTATAGAACTTGAAAACTATAAGCATTACTCAGAGATATTATAGAACACACACATATATGGGAAGACATTTATGAGCTGGACTATTTAACAGTATTAAGAAATTAATACAACCTCAAGTGATCTAAAATATAGTGCAATCCCTATCAAAACACCAAAAATATTTTTAGCAAAAATAGAAAAATCCATGCTAAAATCCATATGGAATCTCAAGGGCTACAAATTGCCAAAACAATATTGAAAAAGAAGTTAGAGAGTTCATACCTCCACATTCTAAAACAAACTACAAAGCTATAGTAATCCCAGCACCCATATTGGAATAAAGATGAATAACAGATTAATAAAATATAATAGACAGCCTAGAAATAAATCTCTAAATATGTATTTAATAAATTTCAACAAGGGTGTCAAGAACATTTTATGGAAAAAGGGTTTTATATGACACTAATTGAAAAAGGCAGTCACACGCACACACACAAAAGCAGACTTTGTATGAGTCCAACTAACTGAGGCAAATAAAACAGATTCATAGACAGAAAGTAGAATGGAGGTTGCCTGGGTCTCTGTAGGTGAAAATGGGAAATTTTCTTTAATAATTATGGACTTTCAGTTTGTGAAGTTGGACTAGTTCTCAAGATAGACATTAGTAACATTTACACAACAATGTGAATTAAATTAATACCACCTTAAGATGGTGAAAATTATACATTTTATTATGTAACAGTTCAGTTCAGTTCAGTCTCACAGTCATGTCCGACTCTTTGTGACCTCATGAAATGCACCACACCAGGCTTGCCTGTCCGTCACCCAATTCCTGTCCATTCCCAACTCCCAGCTCCAACTCATGTCCATTGAGCTGATAATGCCATCCAACCATCTCATGCTCTGTCATCCCCCTTCTTCTCCCACCTTCAATCTTTTCCAGCATCAGGGTCTTTTGCAGTGAGTCAGTTCTTTGCATCAGGGGGTCAAAGTATTGGAGTTTTAGCTTCAGCATCAGTCCTTCCAATGAATATTCAGGGTTGATTTCCTTTAGAATGGACTGGTTTGATCTCCTTGCAGTCCAAGGGACTCTCAAGAGTCTTCTCCAACACCACGGTTCAAAAGCATCAATTGTTGACACTCTGCTTTCTTTATAGTCCAACTCTCACATCCATACATGACTACTGGAAAAACTATAGCTTTGACTAGATGGACCTTTGTTGGCAAGGTAATGTCTCTGCATTTTAATATGCTGTCTAGCTTGGTCATAATTTTCTTCCAAAGAACAAGCGTCTTTTCATTTCAGGGCTGCAGTCACCATCTGCAGTGATTTTGGAGCCCCCAAAAATTAAGTCTTTCCCTGTTTTTTTTGTTCCACCATCTGTTTGCCATGAAGTGATGGCATTGGATCGCATGATGTTAGTTTTTTGAATGTTGAGGTTTTTTCTTTTTTTTTCCTTTAAGCAGTTCTGTTTATTAGACATGTAGGTTTTTTCTGCTGTTTTAACTCTTGAAAGTGACACAACTGTGAACATCATTTTTTTGTTTGTTTCATTAATTTTTTATTTTTTTAAGTTAATTTGTTTTAATTGCAGGCTAATTAATGTTGAGTTTTTTTTCTTTTTTTTTCCATTTATTTTTATTAGTTGGAGGCTAATTACTTTACAATATTGCAGGGTTTTTGTCATACATTGACATGAATCACCCATGGATTTACATGTATTCCCCAACCCGATCCCCTCTCCCTCCTCCCTCTCCACCTGATCCCAGCTAATTAATGTTGAGTTCTAAGCCAGCATTTTTCACTCTACTCTTTTACTTTCATCAAGATGCTCTTCAGTTCTTCTTCACTTTCTGCCATAAGGGTGGTGTCATCTGCATGTCTGAGGTTATTAATCTTTCTCCTAGCAATCTTGATTCCAGCTTGTGCTTCATCCAGCCCAGGGTTTCTCATGATGTACTCTGCATATAAGTTAAATAAGCAGGGTGACAATATATAACCTTGATGTCCTCCTTTCCCAATTTGGAAACAGTCCTATGTTCCACATCTGATTCTAACTGCTCTTTCTTGACCCGCATACAGATTTTTCAATGGCAAGTAAGGTGGTTTGGTATTCCCATCTCTTGAAGAATTTTCCACAGTTTCTTGTGACCCACACAGTCAAAGGCTTTGGCATAGTCAATAAAGCAGAAGTAGATGTTTTTCTGGAACTCTCTTGCTTTTTCAATGATCCAGCGGATGTTGGCAATTTGATCTCTGGTTCCTCTGCCTTTTCTAAATCCAGCTTGAACATCTGGAATTTCACAGTTCACGTATTGTTGAAGCCTGGCTTGGAGAATTTTGAGCATTACTTTGTTAGCATGTGAGATGAGTGCAATTGGGAGGTAGTTTGAACATTCTTTGGCATTGTCCTTCTTGGGGATTGGAATGAAAACTGACCTTTTCCAGTCCTGTGGAAAATATAAATTTATTATGCATACTTGACCATAATTTAAAAAAACAAATTTAAGAACTAAGGTCACCTCATTAATTGATTTATGATGTGAATCTGGACTAAAGTACAATAGGCAAATAATCCAATAGCCCCAAATGTGTGCAAATATCATTGGCTTCAGATACACATAGGTAGTTCGTTTAAGAGACAAATATGTCAATCCAATAGAGAAGGAAATGGTAACCCATTCCAGTATTCTTGCCTGGAAAATTCCTTGGACAGAGCAGCCTGGTGGGCTACAGTGTACGAAGTCACAGTAGGACACAGCTAAGCAACATACACTTTCAGATTTATGTCAATCCAATGACAAACTACGAAATTAGAATCTCTAGTTTTATTTTTTTTTTAACCTTCTCATGTCTTTATTTGAAAGGCACAGCTAATCTCACCCTCGACCCAGCATTTTCACTTCTCTCTGTAGAGATGAAACGACTGAACACGACAAAAGCTGACAGTCTAAAAGGCTATATACAGACACAGGTGTGGGTGTTGCTTTTTTTTTCTTTTTTCATTTTTCTCGTTTTCCTTTTTTTAATATCCCTTTTCTTAAAAGACAAGCTAGTATACTGGAAAAGGGGGGGGAGAAATAAAAACCAAGACAACTTGAGTACCCTCATCTTTATTCGGGAAGGAGAGAAAGGGAATTCTGAGTTGCTCGCCCCACTCTGTTCCCCTGGGGCTAAGATCGCTGTCGGTGGCCCCTCTTTCTTTTGTGGGTGCAGGCATCAGGAACTCATGGAGGGTGAGTGGGTGGGAGGGAGAGACTCAGGGTGCCCAGGGTGGGGAGGGGCAGCTAGCATTGTGTTTGCATGCAGTGCCAGGATGGGAGGCTGGGTGTCCCCCAAGGTGGGGTTCCCCCCGGAGGGTAGACTGTCAGTTACATGTGTGTGAATCAGGGAAGTGCAGGGGGTGTTGGACCTCTTGAGGTTTTGCTCCCTTAGACCTGGCCGCCCACCTGCATCTCCAGGCCTCAGCTTGCCTCATCTGTGGTGTGAGTGGGTACTGACCCATTCAGGCTACAGGGGAGGAGGAGGGAGGCCAGGAATTGCGGGTAGGAGCCAAGCCAGGGTAGCGCACAGAAGCAGGGCGGCAGCCCCAGCAGGCAGCTACCATAAATACTACCGGAGTTTGGCCAGTCCCAAGCTGTTCCTGTGTCTCGCGTGCTGAACCTTCCTCTCTCTCAGGGTCTGTCTCCCCTCTGTCCCACCCCCCACCCTCCCCATCCCAGCCGCCCACTAATCCGACTTCTCGCCGTCGTCCTCCTGGGGGGTGTAACCGTCATGCCCATGTTTGTCTTCCTTGGAGAGGTGGGCCTGGGAGCCCAGCGCCGACAGAGAGAGGAGGCCGGTGCCCGCGCTGACCGCAGGCAGAGAAGGAGGCCGCAGCCCCACAGGCAGGGGGTCACGGGCAGGGCCAGAGCCTGCAGCCGAGGCAGCTGGTGGGCTTGGAGCTGCTGTCGGATGACGGAGTTCCGCTCAGGAGCAGTGCCCTGCTTAGCCGTCTGATGGCTCCCAAGACCTGCAGCTGGTCTCTTGGGACAGGTAGGGCAGGACCTGGGCACACATCCCATGTAGCCCCTTGACGATTTCAGCCTGCCTGTGCATCTCGACGTTCAAGCCATAGGACATCTCGTAGTGCATCACGTAATGACGCTGCATTTCTGACGTCTCGCTGGCCAGCTTGTCACATTCGAGTTTCAGGCTGTGGTACTGAGCCTGCAGCAGTTCAAACTCATCTTTGATGCGGTCGCAGGAGTCCGAAGTAGTGAATTTGAGTTGCTGGGGGAGGGGCGACGAGCCCGAACGCCTGCTTTGCGGGAACATCATGTCAGTCGCGGCGGGGGGCGCGGGGTGCGCCCCGGCTCTGCGCCCCGGCTCGGGCTGCTCGGCGCGGCTCGGGCTGCTGGGGCGCCGGCGCCGCGCCTTTGTCCCGGCGCCGATCCGGCGCTCCCAGGGCCGCCGCCGCCTCCCGCACCCGGCCTCGCCCGCTTCCTGCCTAGTTTTAAACTTTTAGTATATATTTCAGTACAGTTGATTAAAATGTGTTAGGTGCAGGTGTACTGCAAAATGATTCAGACATATATGTATATAGATAGATATATGTATATATATATATATATATACACCTGTATCATTGAGACATATATGTATGTAGATAGATAGATGTATATATATATACCTGTATCATTCAGACATATATGTACATAGACAGTTAGATAGATGTATATATATATACACCTGTATCAATTTTTTCTCAATTTTTTTCTCATTTAAGTTTTTACAAAATAGTGAGTAGAGTTCCCTGTGTTATATAGCATGTCTTGTTGACTATCTACTTTAAATATAATAGCAAATATTTGTCAATCTCAAATTTTTTTATAATCAGTTCAGCAAATATTAAGTATCTACCATGGACTAGGCATTGTTCTAAGTACTCAGGATGCATCAAAAAAAAAGAAAGGAGGCCCCAAAAAAAGCCTGGGTGAAAAAGAAAGAAATGAAATCCAAGTTTTTTATTTTGAAGTTTCAAAATCAGGTTTTGGTTGTAAGTTAGAAAACGTATTTGAAGGATTTTATGCTCCTCCAGATACATTCAGAATGCCTGGTTATGCATGGGGAAGAGGGGATTTTATAAAGTGATCGTCATCTCTACAAAGCAGTGGAAATGTACACAACACAGATTATACACCAGAGACTGGGCTTAAACTCTACCCTGCAGAGAAAGGCACCAAAGTGACTGATGGACCCCTGATTGGGAAGAGTTTACTCTCAGAGTGACAGGGAATAATATGCGCTAGGTGGAAAAGTGACAGCCTAAAGAGAAATTGTATTGAGTCATAATAAAATAAGCATGTTTGCATTTCAAAAAGTAAAATCTCTGTAACTGTATCCTAACAACTTCTCCTTTTTTGATTATTTGTACTAGGTTTTCTTTGTATGTTTTTCTTGGTATTGTTTGTTTGTTTCTGGTCATACCATGTGAATTGTGGGATCCTATTTTTACCAGGGACTGAATCTAAGCCCTAGGCAATGAAAGTCTGTAGTCCCAACCACTGGAAACCCAGAGAACCTCAGAACCGTAATGAATTCTGAACTGGGCAATATATAAATTTAAATACAATTTTCATAATGGTTAGTGATATCCTGCCTGGACCTTATCCCTGAGTACTTATATGTCAAAATCAGCATACTTTTGGTTTTTTTTTTTTCTCTTTAGTTGGAGGTTAATTACTTTACAATATTATAGTGGTTTTTGTCATACATTGACAAGAATCAGCCATGGTTTTAAATGTATTGCCCATCCCGATCCCCCCTCCCACCTCCCTCTCCGCCCGATCCCTCTGGGTCTTCCCAGTACACCAGGTCTGAACACTTGTCTCATGCATCCAACCTGGGCTGGTGATCTGTTTCACCCTAGATAATATACATGTTTCGATGCTCTTCTCTTGAAATATCCCACCCTCGCCTTCTCCCACAGAGTCCAAAAGTCTGTTCTATACATTTGTGTCTCTTTTTCTGTTTTGCATATAGGGTTATCGTTACATCTTTCTAAATTCCATATATATGTGTTAGTATACTGTAATGGTCTTTATCTTTCTGGCTTACCTCACTCTGTATAATGGGCTCCAGTTTCATCCATCTCATTAGAACTGATTCAAATAAATTCTTTTTAATGGCCGAGTAATATTCCATGGTGTATATGTACCACAGCTTCCTTATCCATTCGTCTTCTGATGGGCATCTAGTTGCTTCCATGTCCTGGCTATGATAAACAGTGCCGCGATGAACATTGGGGTGCACGTGTCTCTTTCAGATCTGGTTTCCTCGGTGTGTATGCCCAGAAGTGGGATTGCTGGGTCATATGGCAGTTCTATTTCCAGTTTTTTAAGAAATCTCCACACTGTTTTCCATAGCAGCTGTACTAGTTTGCATTCCCACCAACAGTGTAAGAGGGTTCCCTTTTCTCCACACCCTCTCCAGCATTTATTGTTTGTAGACTTTTGGATAGCAGCCATTCTGACTGGTGTGTAATGGTACCTCATTGTGGTTTTGATTTGCATTTCTCTGATAATGAGTGATGTTGAGCATCTTTTCATGTGTTTTTTAGCCATCTGTATGTCTTCCTTGGAGAAATGTCTGTTTAGCTCTTTGGCCCATTTTTTGATTGGGTCATTTATTTTTCTGGAGTTAAGCTGGAGGTGTTGCTTATATATTTTTGAGATTAATCCTTTGTCTGTTGCTTCGTTTGCTATTATTTTCTCCCAACCTGAGGGCTGTCTTTTTACCTTGCTTATAGTTTCCTTTGTTGTGCAAATGCTTTTAAGTTTCATTAGGTCCCATTTGTTTATTTATGCTTTTGTTTCTAATATTCTGGGATGTGGGTCATAGAGGATCCTGCTGTGATTTATGTTGGAGGCTGTTTTGCTTATGTTCTCCTCTAGGAGTTTTATAGTTTCTGGTCTTACATTTAGATCTTTAATCCATTTTGAGTTTATTTTTGTGTATAGTGTTAGAAAGTGTTCTAGTTTCATTCTTTTACAAGTGGTTGACCAGTTTTCCCAGCACCACTTGTTAAAGAGGTTGTCTTTTTTCCATTGTATATCCTTGCCTCCTTTGTCGAAGATAAGGTGACCATAGGTTCATGGATTTATCTCTGGGCTTTCTATTCTGTTCCATTGATCTATATTTCTGTCTTTGTGCCAGTACCATACTGTCTTGATGACTGTGGCTTTGTAGTAGAGTCTGAAGTCAGGCAGGTTGATTCCTCCAGTTCCATTCTTCTTTCTCAAGATTACTTTGGCTATTCGAGGTTTTTTGTATTTCCATACAAATTGTGAAATTATTCGTTCTAGTTCTGTGGAAAATACCGTTGGTAGTTTGATAGGGATTGCATTGAATCTATAGATTGCTTTGGGTAGTATAGCCATTTTCACAATATTGATTCTTCCAATCCATGAACACTGTATATTTCTCCATCTGTTTGTGTCCTCTTTGATTTCTTTCATCAGTATTTTATAGTTTTCTATGTATAAGTCTTTTGTTTCTTTAGGTAGATATACTCCTAAGTATTTTATTCTTTTTGTTGCAATGGTGAATGGTATTATTTCCTTAATTTCTCTTTCTGTTTTCTCATTGTTAGTGTATAGGAATGCAAGAGATTTCTGTGTCTTAATTTTATATCCTGCAACTTTACTATATTCGTTGATTAGCTCTAGTAATTTTCTGGTAGAGTCTTTAGGGTTTTCTATGTAGAGGATCATGTCATCTGCAAACAGCGAGAGTTTCACTTCTTCTTTTCCTATCTGGATTCCTGTTACTTCTTTTTCTGCCCTGATTGCTGTGGCCAACACTTCCAAAACTATGTTGAATAGTAGTGGTGAGAGTGGGCACCCTTGTCTTATTCCTGATTTTAGGGGAAATGCTTTCAATTTTTCACCATTGAGGGTAATGCTTGCTGTGGGTTTGTCATATATAGCTTTTATTATGTTGAGGTATGTTCCTTCTATTCCTGCTTTCTGGAGAGTTTTAATCATAAATGGATGTTGAATTTTGTCAAAGGCTTTTTCTGCATTTATTGAGATAATCATATGGTTTTTATCTTTCAATTTGTTAATGTGGTGTATTACATTGATTGATTTGAGGATATTAAAGAATCCTTGCATTCCTGGGATAAAGCCCACTTGGTCATGGTGTAAAAATCAACATACTTTTAATAAGCAATGTTCAGTTGGCCCTGAACCATAAAATTGTATTTATTTTTTATTCACCATTTAAAATACAAAGCCATTTCATATTGTTATGATTATTTCCCAAGCTCACATTTTCACTCCAAAAATTCCTCATAGCATTTTTTCACCTCTAGATTTCTGAGTGAGTAAGTTTAAGAAGTTTAACAAAGGAGTTATCATAATATAAAATAAGCCACGCCTTCAGGGCAAATAAGCAGGGCACAAAGATTATGATGACCACAGTGATGTGAAAGACACAGGTGGAGAGGACTTTGCATCTCCCCTCCAACCTAAAAGTCTTTATGCAGCACAAGCTGACCACAAGGGAGACCATCAGGGGGAAAATATTTAACAGATAAATGAACCCACTGTTAGCAGCAAGAGAGACCAAGGGTATGAGTCCATGCAGACAGGTTTCAAAAAAGGGTTTAATTCACACAAGGATGGCCTGTGACATGGGAGCCACAGACAGGCAGCAACACTATGAAGAGAATCTGGGTGACTGCAAGGACAATCCTGTAGCTCCCATACCTGAAAGAGTGAGTCACATCCCTTCCTGTACTGTGAAACTGTCATGTCACTCATGATATGATGGTTTTGAAATGTTGCTGCTACAAGCCAGGAACAACGCTGGGATTTGTGGCCTCCAGAGGAGAGGAATTCGACCTAGGGCCAGAGACAAGGCTTGATCACTCGGAGCTTTTAGTGTAGCACGGTTTTATTAAAGTATAAAAGACAGTGAAATCTTCTGACATAGACATCAGAAGGGGACAGATAGAGTGCCCCCTTGCTAGTTTTTAGTTAGAAGTTATATGTCTATTCAGTTCAGTCCAGTTCAGTCTCTCAGTCGTGTCCAACTCTTTGTGACCCCACGAATCGCAGCACGCCAGGCCTCCCTGTCCATCACCAACTCCCAAAGTCCACCCAAACTCATGTCCATCAAGTCGGTGATGCCATCCAGCCATCTCATCCTCGATCGTCCCCTTCTCCTCCTGCCCCCAATCCCTTCCTGCATCAGGGTCTTTTCCGATGAGTCAACTCTTCGCATGAGGTGGCCAAAGTACTGGAGTTTCAGTTTCAGCATCAGTCCTTCCAGTGAACACCCAGGACTGATCTCCTTTAGGATGGACTGGTTGGATCTCCTTGCAGTCCAAGGGACTCTCAAGAGTCTTCTCCAACACCACAGTTCAAAAGCATCAATTCTTTAGTGCTCAGCTTTCTTCACAGTCCAACTCTCACATCCATACATGACCACTAGAAAAACCATAGCCTTGACTATACAGACGTTAAGCAAGTTCCTAAATAGAGAAAGGAAATGCCTGAAAACTGAGAGAGTTGCAACAGGCCCCTCACCCACAACATGCATTTTGAGATAGCGTTGGCTTTTTCACTCTCCTCTTTCACTTTCATCAAAATACTGCAAGTAGCTTAAAAAGGTAAAAACATATAACCAGAAAATATTAGTTACATATCCAATGGTAAAAAGATCTTTTTTTCTTCCTTATATTTTATTTTTTAAATTAGGAAAGTAAGATAACACATTTACAGGAGACTTGGAAAATGCAGAACAAAGTTACATATAGTTCCATTGTGTGCGTGCTGGGTGCTCACTCAGTCATGTCCAGTTCTTTGTGATCTCATGGACTGTATCCCATGAAGCTCATCTGTCCATGGGATTTTCCAGGCAAGAGTACTGTAGTGCGTTGCCATGCTCTCCTCCAAGGGATCTTCCAAACCCAGGAACGGAATCCACATCTCCTGTGTCTCCTGCATTGCAGGCAGGGTTCTTTACCTGCCGAGCTGTCAGGGAAGTTCATAGTTCCACTATATATTACAATTATTTTTTAAGTACATATATTAACATTGTTAGTTGGAATTTCAATATCAAAATGCAAAAATTAATAACACACTCTAGTGAGTGTGTTCTTCGCAGCAAGTGGCCAAAGTATTGGAGCTTCAGCTTCAGCATCAAAAAAAAATGAAAAAATACAAATCAAACAAAACATATGGAAAAATGTCCAAACTCAATTATATCAAAAGGATAGTGGTTAAAATGTAAAATTAACTTTAATCAGTTATCATAAATATTTATCAGTGATTGGTCTTGAGAAGGTGGAAAAAAGTCTTCTCATAGACAGTGTATAGGATTGTAGCTGTTAGGACAATCTCAAGAATGGTAGTTTGGCAATAACTATCAATTTCAACATTTTAAATTCATATACTACTTTACCACTGATTCAAATATCATAGCTACAATTCTATGCCTATGAACTATATTTGTACATACTCAAAACCATATGTTCATTGGAAAATTATTTGTCATAGAAAAATTTAGCAGCCACATGAAGAGAAATGGACATATTAATTTTAGTATAAAATTATGAGGAGTATTGTGCAGCATAAGAAAGGTTATGAGATATATATGGACTCCTACAAAAACATTTTTTCAAGACACTGCATAGTAAAAGCAAGGATTATATATAGAGAAAGTAACAAATATCCATGTTAAACACATTTGCATTTGCAAAGATTATTGCCAAATGAAAATTAAGAAACAAAATTAGGGGTTACATTTATGAAGACTAGAAAATGCTGAGAAAAAAAATAGGAAATTTGGAAATTTATTTGAGACTTAATCCTATATTGTTTGGGCTTCCCTGATAGGTCAGTTGTTAAAGAATTCACCTGCAATGCAGGAGACCTCGGTTCAATTCCTGGGGTGGGAAGATCCGCTGGAGAAGGGATAGGCTACCCACTCCAGTATTCTTGGGCTACCCTTGTGTCTCAGCTGGTAAAGAATCTGCCTGCAATGCAGGAGACCTGGGTTCATTTCCTGGATTGGGAAGATCCCCTAGAGAAGGGAAAAGCTACCCACTCCAATATTCTGGCCTGGAGCATTCCATGGACTATACAGTCCATGGTGTTGCAATGAGTCGGTCACGACTAAGCAAATTTCACTTTCTTTCAATCCTATATTGTTTGGTTCTCATATAGGCTGTTAACTAATCCCTATTTTACTTCAAAGTTTCTTATAAACAGTAAAATATTTAAGTTAAAATTTGGGGGCATAATTCAATGGAAACATAGCAAAGAAGACAATCTGTATAAAATAACAATTTTAAGTTATACAGATAAATGAGTTTACTTAAATGACAAGAACCTAAATAAAAATTACTCTGTGTCTGAACAAGAGTAAAAAAGATAAAAGCATAAATGATCAAAAATCAGTGTAACTATATAATTGTAACCTTGCAAATTAATTATATATTATTAATATCTTGCTGCATAGGCATTAAATCTTGCTAGCTACAGTGATAAATGGTAATTAATAGGCTTTATACTCTAGTAGAGAGGAAAACTGTTTTAACAGCACAGTTGTATAACTATCTTTAATCATAATTATAGTAAAGTTTTTGCAAAAAAGAGAAATCAGAATCAAATTTTAAAATGACTTCTGCATTGTAAGGAAATGGACCCTGATGTCAAATGACTCCCTTCATGGTGGATGATGTACTTATTTAATATGAGATATGAGGTTTCTTCTCCAGAGCTTATTCATGGCATTTGTCATCTCTGAGTTTCTCAGAGTGTAGATTAGTGGGTTCAGCATGGGGGTTATGACTGTATAGAACACACTCAATAATTTGTCAATGGGGAAGGTCTTAGCAGGCCTTGTGTTTATGAAAATACAGGGAACAAAGAAGCAGACAACCACAGTGATGTGGGAACCACAGGTCTGGAGGGCTTTCCGCCTCCCTTCCTGACTCAGGTTCTTCAGAGAGTGCAGGATGACTCCATAGGAGATGAGTAAGAGCAGAAACCCAAGACTGCAGATCAGTCCTCCGTTGACCACAACTAAGACGCCAATGACATAGGTGTCAGTACAGACGAGTTTTAATAATGGGAACATGTCACAGATAAAGTGATCAATGACATTGGGGCCACAGAATGGGAGCCTGTAAATAGTGCCAAGTTGAATTACTGAGTGTAGAAAACCTCCAACCCAGGACACCACCAACAGTAAAACACACACCCTTTGCCTCATGATCACCAAATAATGCAAGGGCTTACAGATGGCCACATAGCGGTCATAGGCCATCACCAGCAGAAGGAAGACCCCGGATCCAGCAAAAAAGTGCTCTGTAAACAGCTGTGTCATGCAAGATTCAAAAGTTATGATTTTTTCCCCAAAGAACAAGTCTGAAATCAACCTGGGAGTAATAGAAGAGGAATAAGTGATATCCATAAATGATAAGCTAGCAAGAAAAAAGTACATTGGTGAGTTCAGGGTCTTACTAACGGTTATAGTCACAATAATAAGCAGGTTTCCCACCACAGTCAAAATATAGAAGAGCAAGAACATAACAGAAAGGACTTTCTGCTCCTTTGGATTCTGTGTGAGGCCCAGGAGGACAAAGTAAGTCACACTGCTCCTTGCTTCCATTTCATCTGTACAGAAGCTGACTTCACATCTGAGTAGTTTACCTCCAAAATTAAGGGAAAAACACTTAAAGACAGAAAAGACTTAAATGTTTGTTTTTTATTTATCCATTCATTAGAAGATATGCATGGAGCATCTATTTGTGTCCAATATGTCATGTACATTTTAATTACCAAGTTGATTAAGGCATAGTTCCCTTCACTCTAGTGCTAGACACATAATGAGGAATCAGGCAATTCCAGACCCACGTAATAGATGCCATTAAATGAGTATCAATACAGGGCTAAGAGTCACAGTAGGATTTTCTCAAACTAGAATCAGAGGAAGGCTTCCCAGTAGAAGCAATGCTGAAGATGAGTTTTTAAAAATGCAAGAATAAAAAAGATGGGAAGAGAAGTTCATGAAGAGGTGCACCATTTATAAGGTCAAAAAAGTGCAATACTTGAGACCCACTTAAGGTAATTTACATAATCAATATGAGTAGATCAAACAATAAACAGAAGTTCCCTGTCCTGAAGTGACTCAAACTGCACTGACACTTCTTAGGTCTTTAGGTGGATACTTCCCTTTTCCTGACCAATAAACACTGCAACAATCTAAACTGTGTCCCCAGTCCCTAACTCTCCTCTAATTCTCAAACTTAGGTATGTGCCATGCATGGAATTTCCCAGGCAAGAATACCAGAGTGGTTGCCATTTCCACCTCTGAAGGATCTTCCCAATCCAGGGATCTAACCCTTATCTTCTGCCTCTCCTCCACTGGCAGGCGGATACTTTACCACCAAGCTGCCTATATGCAACATTTCTAATTTTGGACATCCGATTGATTGACAATTTAGTACTTATTAAACTTTTAAATTGTCCACACTAAACATAATGGTTTCCTGTATAAAATTTAAAGAGGTGTTCTGTATTTATCTCATTAAATGCTATCATTTTCCATGTTATTTTTCAGACAAAAAAATTTCAGTACTGTTCTCATTTATCAATTTCATAAAATCTTAATAAATCCTATCAACTCTACTTTCAAAATATATTACAAATACGATCATACCCAACTTCTTAATTTCTTCCTGCTCCACTGAAATAGCTTTCTACCAAGTCTCTCCAAAAAATTAGAGAAAAAATTATTCTGACCTCCAAAAATTCAGGTTCTCCTGAAGCTGCCCAAATTGTCCTTTTTAACCTTATTCTTATAACATCTCTCTTTTGCTCAAAGCTCCTGCAATATATTTCAAACATATACTCATATCTTAATGTAACACATTTAATATTTACTTTAACAAGAACCACAATCCTCATTTCATAACTGAAGAAGCTAAGGCTCAGAACAACTAATTCAGTTTCCCAAGTCACATTTTTAAGTGATAATACCTAGAGTTGAGTCTAAGTTTGATTTCAAAGTAATTTAATTTCTACATAATAATTTCTCACAATTGGGAGACTGGTTCCCACTGTTACTGTTAGTTTTACCTTGTGGAGGCTTGTTGAGAATCTGAAGGATGACCTTAAATTACTCATAAACACTGAAATTATTTTTCATCCAGTTTGGCAACAGAGGGCAAAAAGCTGGCTTATTAATTGAGGATATAGTTTATTTTGTTTGACTGTCTGTTCATTAACTTCATGGAGTCTTCTGATTATTCAGAAGGTTATTTTTATGTGCAGTATATATTACTTTAATGGAATTCCATGGTGCACAAAGAAAAGTTTGTTACATGGGGAAATTTATCAAAATGACCAGGAAATTCTATATATACATAGAAGATATCAATTAGTCATTTCGCAGGGAAATTTTTCACAAGTAACTTATTCTTGCTAATGTCAAAAAAAAAAAAAAAACGCATTTGACTTTTTATCCCTTTTCACTCTGTCATGTTAGCATAGACAGAGTAGTTGATTGAGATTTTGAAAAAATTTCCTAACCTTTTTTCAGCCATGCCTTAAGTCTAAGAAAGGACCTTCTGAAAAATTTCTGTCAGTCACTAAGTGGGTAGCATCTTCTTCCTGTTAGGGGTGAAGATCACAAGATATTTCATCCCTTCCAGCTGCAGTTATCATTGAGTCTTGGAATTGGCATGTGTCCAGGACTAATTCTTGCTTAATTAATTCACTGTGATTTTCCCCAAAGTTTTAAAGGAAGTCTATATGTTAAGTTATTAATAGGCCAGATCACAAAATTAATGTCAGAAAGGTGCAACGTGGACAAAGAGCTCCAGAATCATGAAATGACTACAAATCAAGAATGAAATATCAACTCAGTCATTTAGCTTTAGTGAAATTATTTGTTATGTGTTTCCCTACCAGCCATAGCAAGATTGTTTCCTTTTATACAATATCCAATTTAATTATCTTAAATTTGCTTTTATATATGTATATAAAATATCCAAAAATGCAATTAAATGTATTAAAATTTTATATATAGTAAATAATCCAATTATTAATTTTTCAAAATGTTGATGATACCTGCATTTGACCAGCAACCATGCTATAAGTGAGGATACAAGAATTAATAAAATCAGGGGGAAATCATGTAAAACTTTCCCTGTGTGGATCTTATTTTGTTATAATAGAATCATGCAAAAAAGGAGACAATTTTAAGAAAGAAGTTGCAGTTTTATTCCCTGCTTAAAAGACAAGAAATAGGGTATAGTGACAGAAAATAAGAGGGAAAATTCAACTGTGGATAAAGTAATCCAAGATGAGCTTTCTTAAGGTGATGCTCAAGCTGAGTTCGAAAGTATAGGAAGTGACTTCCATCAGAGACACTGTTACAGAAATTATACAAATGACCTTATTTATGAAACGGAGTCTGGAAAACTCCATGGACAGAGGAGTGTGGAGGGCTGCAGGCCATGGGACACGACTCAGCACACACACAACATACTCACAGACTCAGAATAAACTTATGCTTGTTAGGGTGGAAGAACTTGGGGAAGAGATAGTTAGGGATTTTGAAGTTGACATGTACACCCTGCAACATTTAAATTCAATAATCAACAAGGTCTTACTATAGAGCACCGGGAACTCTGCACAGTGTTGCGTGGTAACCTGGGTGAAAGGGGAGTTTGGTGGAGAATGGGTGCTTGGATGTATAGGCTGAGCTCGTTGCTTCGCCATCACATGAAACTATCACAACAGTGCTTATTGGCTGCCCTCCAATATAAAAGTAAGTTTGGTTTTGTTTTTAATAAGCCCTGTTACAGCAATTGAAAGTATGTAAAAATTAATAAAATTATTTCACTTCAGAGATGACAGGAGCTATACTTAACACAACTTTAAAATTTTCACAGGAATTTTTATGGCAGTACTATGTTAAAAAAGACTTGTGCCTTCTTGTCTATTCCAGATTTTAATGGGGCAGCTTTTAACCTTTCCATGTTGAGGATGATGTTAACTGTGCATCTGTCATATATGGACTTTATTATGTTAAGCTACATTCTTTCTATTTCCAATTTGTTGAGAGTTTTTTATGAAATCATGTTGAACATCTACATGATCATGAAAAACCCGAGAATAAATTAAGAAAATAATTACACTTACAAGAGCACCAAAAAGAATAAAATATTTAGGAATAAATTTAACCAAGGAGACAGTCTTGTAAACTGAAAACTACAAAGTGTATCTGAGTGATATTATCAAATACACACATAACATGGGAAGATATTTATGATCTGGGATATTTAACAGTATTAAGATGTTAATAATACCTCTATATATTATTAAGATGTTAATAATACCTTCAGATTCAGTGCAATCCTTATCAAAATCCCAGAATAGTTTTTATAGAAGCAGAAAAATTCATACAGAATCTCAAGGACTCCAAATTGCGGAAACAATTTTGAAAGGAAATAGAAAGTTGTAGGTCTCACGCTGCCTGATCCTAAAACATATTATACAAAGTTATGGTAATCCCAGCATGACCATTGAAATAAAGATGGACAACATATTAATGGAATAAAATAGATGATCTAAAAATAAAGCTTTATATACATCCTAGATAATTTTCAACAAGAGTGTCAAGAGCATTTAATGGAGAAAGGATAGTATATTGATGCAAAGTGAAAAAGGAAGTCACACAGAAAAACCAATTTTGTATGACTACATTTGATTGAGACACTTAACTAGTCAAGTTTATAGACAGAAAATAGAATGGTAGTTGGGTGGTGCTCTGTAAGTGGAAATGGGAAATTTTGTTTAATGATTGTGAAATTACAGTTTGACAAGTTGGAAACATTTTGGAGATGACAACCATAATGCTGGCACAACAATATGAATTAAGGTAGTGACACTTTAAAATGGTTAAAACTATATGTTTTATTATCTGTATTTGACCACAATTTTTAAAAGAAATTGAAGAACTCAGGTGACCTCATTAACTGGTTTATGATATGAACATAAACTACAGCACGAAAGCCCAAACTGTCTGCAAATATCATTGGCTTTAGATACACCTGGGTTTAAGAGGTAAATATGTCAATCTAATGACAAAACAACTAAATTAAAATCTCTATTTTTTAATAACTTTATCTTTTAATTTATTTACTTCAATTGGAGGATAGTTTTTTTACAATATTGTGATAGCTTCTGCTGCATACTTGTGTCTCCTCCCTCCTGAACCCCCAACCCTCTCCCCCGCATCCATCCAGGTTCGCACAGAGCCCTGGCTTGGGTTCCCTGTGTCTCACATCAAACTCCCTCTGGCTATCATTTTACATATGGTAAGGTATGTGTTTCAATGCTATTCTCTCAAATCATACCACTCTCTCCTTCTTCCACTGAGTCCAAACATCTGTTCTTTCTGACTGTCTCCATTGCTGCCCTTCACACAGGATCATCAGTACTATCTTTCTAGATTCCATATATACACTTTAACACATGATATCTATTCTGCCTTACTTCACTCTTATAATAGGCTCTAGGTTAATCCACCTCATTAGAACTGACTTAAATGTGTTCCTTTTTATAACTGAGTGATTATTCTGTTGGTCATATATATACTACAGCTTTCTTATCCATTCATCTGCCAATGGACATCTAGGAATCCAATGTCAAAACTAGTAAATTAAAATTTCTGTTTTTTAATAATTACTATCTATTTTACATTGGATTATAGTTGACTAACAATATTAGCTTCAGGTGTTCAGCAAAGTGAGTGAAATATACAGATATGTGTACCTATTCTCTTTCAAATTCTTTTCCCAGTTAGGTTATTATAGGATGTTGAATAGAGTTCCCTGTGCTATATATGGTAGATCCTTGTTGGTTATTAATTTTAAATATACTAGTGTGTATTGTCAATACCCAAGTATTACATAATCAACTCAACCAACATTGAGTATCTACCATAGGCCAGGCATTGTTCAAAATACTCAGGATTCATCAATAAACAAAGCAGACCAGATAAAGGGAGAGTTTGGAGTCTCAAAATCAGATTTTAGGTGCAAGATAGCAAACATTTTTGAAGTATTTTGTGCTCCTCCAGAATAGTTCAGATTGACTGGTTATGCAGGGGAAGAGGATATTTTATGTGAAACTTCCTCCCTACAAAGCAGTGGGAATATACACCCAGATTACACACCACAGATTGGACTTCGACTCCACTCTGCTGAGACACCAAAGGGACTGATGAAACACTGGGTGAGATGGGTTTACACTCAGAGTGGCAGATAATAATTATGCTACATGGAAGCGTGATGACTTAAATAGAAACTGTAATAAGTCATAGTAAAATAAACATTTGCATTTCAAAAAACTTTAGAACTGTATTATCGCAAACTCTTTTTTTCAATATTCCTTGCCTAGGTTTTTTGTTTGTTTGTTTGCTTGTTTATCATTGGTGTGGTTTTTTTATGTGTGTGACTGTTTGGTATAGCCTGTGGGATTCTAGTTCTCCTATCAGGGCCTGAACACAGGCCCTTGACAATGAAGGTATGTAGTCCCAACTTCTGGACTGGCAGGGAATTTCCAAACTCTAATTCTGACAGTAAATAAAATTTAGCTACCAACTGGGTAATACATAAAACTAAGTACAATTTTATAATGGCAAATAATTCTCTATCTGGAACTCACCTCTGAGTAGCTATATGTCAAAATCAGCATGGTTTTGTTAGGTAGTGTGCAGTTGTCTTCAATCATAAAATTCCATTTTCTCTTTTCCCATTTTAAAGACAAACTCACTTTTTATTACTATGATCTTTTCCTAAAGTCAATTTTTCATCCCAGAACTTCCTCATAGCATTTTCACGTCTAAATTTCTGAGGGTGAAGTGTAAGTTTAACAAGGGACTTATTATGATACAAAATGTACCCAAGGCTTCTGTACAAATGCACAAATTAGCAGGATACAAAAACTAAGATGACCACAGTGATGTGAGAGACACAGGTGGAGAGGACTTTGTATGGAGCAAACTGTTCTTAATAGCACAACTGTATAATAATGATCTTTCATTGCAATGATCAAAAAATCATCGAAGAAATAGAACTTTTTTCCTTTTAAAGAAAAATTTTAAACCAAAATCAAATTTTAAAATGACTTCTACACTCTAAAGAAATGGAACCTGCTGTCAAATGACTGCCTTCATGGTAGATGATGCACTTGTTTAATATGAAATATGGTATTTCTTCTCCAGAGCTTCTTCATAGCATAAGTTAGCTCAGAACTTCTTAGACTGTAGATTAGTGGGTTCAGAATGGGGGTTATGACTGTGAAAAACACGCTTAATAATTTGTCGAGCGAGAACGTCTTAGCAGGTCTCACATACATGAAAATACAGGGAACAAAGAAGCAGACAACCACAGTGATGTGGGAACCACAGGTCTGGAGGGCTTTCCGCCTCCCTTCCTGACTCAGGTTCTTCAGAGAGTGCAGGATGACTCCGTAGGAGACGAGTAAGAGCAGAAACACAGCAGTGCAGATCAGTCCTCCATTGGCCAACACTAAGATGCCAGTGACATGGGTGTCAGTACAGACGAGTTCCAATAAGGCATACATGTCACACGTATAGTGATCAATGACATTGGGGCCACAGAATGGGAGCCCATAAACAGTGCCAAGTTGAATCACTGAGTGCAGAAAACCTCCAACCCAGGACACCGCCAGCAGCACAACACACACCCTCTGCCTCATGATCACCAGATAATGCAAGGGCTTACAGATGGCCACATAGCGGTCATAGGCCATCACCAGCAGAAGGAAGACCCCTGATCCAGCAAAAAGGTGCTCTGCAAACAGTTGGGTCATACAAGATTCAAAGGATATGTTTTTTTCCCCAAACAACAACTCTGAAATCAATCTGGGAGTGATAGAAGTGGAGTAAGTGACATCCATACATGATAAGCTAGCAAGAAAAAAGTACATCGGTGAGTTCAGAGTCTCACTGACAGCTACAGTCACTATAATAAGAAGGTTGCCCACCAGAGTCAAGAGATAGATGAACAGGAACAAAACAAAAAGGACTTTCTGCTCCTTTGGATTCTGTGTGAGACCCAGAAGCACAAAGTAGGTTACATTGTTTCTTGATTCCATCTAATCTGGGCAGGAGCTGACTTCACATATTAAAGCAGTTTACTTTAAAAAAAAAAAAAAAAAAGCAATGGGGATAACACTTAAAGGGGAAAAATGCTCAAATGTATAAGAATTTTTTTAATTTATTCATTCATTGGAAGAACATCAATAGAACATCTATTTGTGTCTAATGTGTCATAGAAATTTTGATTACCAAGTTGAATAAGGCTTAGTTGTTTTTGTTTGTTTATTGTTTAACCTCAGTGATATGACACAGAACTACAACAACAAAAAACCAATTCCTGACACCTGTATGAAGTTCCATTAAATTCACAGAGTACTGAGGAGTCAGAACATAGGAGTATATCAAGTGAGTCTCACAGAAGACTTTCAAGAGGAGGTAATGCTTCCGCTGAGTGTAAAAAATAATTGAAAGTATAAAGAAATAAAGAAAGCCATGAAAAGCTGCAGCATTTATAAAGACACAAAGTATAATACATGAAATACTCAATATAATACACATAATCAGTGTGGGTAGATGAATGTGTGAATAAAGGTATGTGTGAATAGATGAATTCTTATCCTGAATTGTCTCTAGCCTCACTGACACTTCTTTGGTCTGTAGGTGGATATTTCCCTTTTTCGATCAATAAATTAGACAGAAGAAGTCTATTTTTGTATCTCCAGTCCTTACCTTTCCCCTAAATTTCAAATGTTTATTTGCAATATCTCTAGTTTTGAAATCCAGCTGAATAGAAATTTGATATTCATAAAACATAACTTCTAAATTTTCCACAATAAATTGAGCTATTTCTAAATAAAATTTAAAGAGCATTGCTTATTTATCTCGTTAAATACTATAATTTTCATGTTAGTGTTCAGAAACAAAATTTCAGTGCTCTTTACTCATTTTTCACTCTCATGAAACTTACATAAATCCTACTAACTCTACTTTCAGAATATATCACAAATTTGATCATTCCCTACTTTTTAATTTCTTCCTGTTCCACAGTAACAGCGACCTCCTAAATCTCTCCACATTTATACTGACCACAAAAGTCAGTTCTCCTGCTACAGCCCAAACTGTCCTTTTTAACCTTCTTCTGATAACATCACTCTACTTCTCCAAACTCCTATAATATTCCAATCACTCACTTGTAGTTTAATAAAACACATTTTATATTTACAGTAGCAGGAGCCATAATCCTTATTTCACAAGTAAAGAATTTAAGGTTCAGAATATCTAATTCATTTTCTCAAGTACACATTTTTAAGTCATATACCTAGAATTGATTTTGTTTGATTGATTTTGAAGTAATTTATTTTCTTATATAATAAAGAAGGGCTCACAACTGTGAGCTTGATTCCCACTATTTAATGTTAGTCTTACCTTCTGGAGGCTTGTTCAGAACATGAAGAATATCTTGAAGTCACTCATAAACACTTGGAATTATTTTTCATCCAGTTTGACAAAGAGGACAAAAGGCCACTATTACTTGAGCATATAGTTTATTTGACTGTCCATCCATTTGCTTCATGGAGTCTTCTGATTATTCAGGTCATTTTTAACTGCAATGTAGATTATGTGAAAGCAATTCCATGGTGCACACGCTAAAAAACAAGTTTATTGCATTAGGAAATACATCAAAATGACCAGCCAATATTACATACACACAGAAGAAATCAACTAGTTATTTGGCAGGGAAATTTTTCACAAGTGACTTCTTTCCTCCTAACTTCAAAAATACAAATAGCATTTGACTGTCCAGTTCTTTTCACTCTGTCATACTAACATGACCAAACTAGTTAAGATTTTGAAAGACATTCCTGTGATCCTTTTTAAGTCATGCTATAAGCCTAACAAAGGACCTCCTGAAATTTTCATGGCAGTTGCTAAGCAAATAGCATCTTCTTCCTATTAGGGGTGAAGATCACGGGCTATTTCATCCCTTCCAGCTGCAATTATCACTGGGTCTTGGAATGTGTCCAAGGCTGATTCTTGTTTAATTAATTCACTGGGATTTTCCTCAAAGGTTTTCAAGAACATCTATAGGGGGTTCATTGAAAAGCAAGAGAGTTCCAGAAAAACATCTATTTCTGCTTTATTGACTATGCCAAAGCCATTGACTGTGTGGATCACAATAAACTGTGGAAAATTCTGAAAGAGATGGGAATACCAGACCACCTGACCTGCCTCTTGAGAAACCTGGATGCAGGTCAGGAAGCAACAGTTAGAACTGAACATGGAACAGCAGACTGGTTCCAAATGGGAAAAGGAGTCCGTCAAGGCTGTATATTGTCACCCTGGCTATTTAACTTATATGCAGAGTACATCATGAGAAACGCTGGGCTGGAAGAAGCATAAGATGGAATCAAGATTACTGGGAGAAATATCAGTAACCTCACTATGCAGATGACACCATGCTTATGGCAAAAAGTGAAGAAAAACTAGAGCCTCTTGATGAAAGTGAAAGAGGAGAGTGAAAAAGTTGGCTTAAAGCTCAACATTCAGAAAACTAAGATCATGGCATCTGGTCCCATCACTTCATGGCAAATAGATGGGGAAACAGTAGAAACAATGGCTGACTTTATTTTTCTGGCTCCAAAATCACTGCAGATGGCGTTTGCAGCCATGAAATTAAAAGATGCTTAATGCTTAGAAGGAAAGTTATGACCAACCCAGACAGCATATTAAAAAGCAGAGACATTATTTGTCAACAAACATCCGTCTAGTTAAGGCTATGGTTTTTCCAGTAGTCATATATGGATGTGAGAATTGAACTATAAAGAAAGCTGAACACCGAAGAATTGATGCTTTTGAACTGTGGTGTTGGAGAAGACTCTTGAGAGTCCCTTAGACTGCAAGGAGATCCAACCAGTTCATCCTAAAGGAGATCAGTCCTGGGTGTTCATTGGAAGGAGTGATGTTGAAGCTGAAACTCCAGTACTTGATGCAATCAGGCCACCTGATGTGAAGAGTTGACTCATTGGAAAAGACCCTGATGCTGGGAAAGATTGAGGACAGGAGGAGAAGGGACAACAGAGGATGAGATGGTTGGATGGCATCACCAACTCAGATGGACATGAGTTTGGGTAAACTTCAGGAGTTGGTGATGGACAGGGAGGCCTGGGCTGCTGCAGTTCATTGGGTCGCAAAGAGTTGGACGACTGAACGGCTGAACTGAGCTGAACTGATGGGAGCTTTCCTGTTGGCTCAGTGATGAGGAATTCACTTGCCAATGCATAAGATGCAGGTTTGTCCCCTGGTGTTGTTTATGATATGAACATGAACTATGTAGCACGATAGCCAAAGTGCCTGCAAATATCATTAGCTTTAGATACACTTGGGTTTAAGAGGTAAATATGTCAATCTAATGACAAAACAACTAAATTAAAATCTTTATTTTTTAATTTATTTATTTGCTTCAATTGGAGGATAAGTTTTTTACAATATTATGATGGCCTCTGCTGCATACTTGAATCCCGCAACCTCTCCCTTCCCATCCCACCCTTCCAGTTTGGCACAGAGCACTGGCTTGGGTTCCCTGTGTCACACATCAAACTCCCTCTGGTCATCTGTTTTACATACGGTAAGGTATGTGTTTCAATGTGATTCTCTCAAACCATCCCCCTCTCTCCTTCCACTGAGTCCAAACATCTGTTCTCTATGACTGTCTCCTTTGCTGCCCTTCACAAAGGATCATCAGTACTGTCTTTCTAGATTCCATACAATACTTCAATACACGATATCTATTTCTGGCTTACGTCACTCTTATAATGGGCTCTAGGTTAATCCACCTCATTAGAACTGACTTAAATGTGTTCCTTTTTATAACTGAGTGATTATTCTGTTGGGCATATATACTACAACTTTCTTATCCATTCATCTGCCAATGGACATCTAGGAATCCAATGACAAAACTAGTAAATTAAAATTTCTGTTTTTTAATAATTACTGTCTGTTCTATATTGGATTATAGTTGACTAACAATATTAGCTTCAGGTGTTCAGCAAAGCGAGTGAGCTATACAGATATGTGTGCCTATTCTCTTTCAATTCTTTTCCCAGTGAGGTTATTACAGGATGCTGGATAGAGTGCCCTGTGCTACGCCAGTCAGGATGGCTGCCATCCAAGAGTCTACAAGCAATAAATGCTGGAGAGGGTGTGGAGAAAAGGGAACCCTCTTACACTGTTGCTGGGAATGCAAACTAGTACAGCCGCTATGGAGAACAGTGTGGAGACTCCTTAAAAAACTGGAAATAGAACTGCCATATGACCCAGCAATCCCACTCCTGGGCATACACACCCAGGAAACCAGATCTGAAAGAGACACGTGCACCCCAGTGTTCATCGCAGCACTGTTTATAATAGCCAGGACATAGAAGCAACCTAGATGCCCATCAGCAGACGAATGGATAAGGAAGCTGTGGTACATACACACCATGGAATATTACTCAGCCATTAGAAAGAATGCATTTGAATCAGTTCTAATGAGATGGATGAAACTGGAGCCCATTATACAGAGTGAAGTAAGCCAGAAAGATAAAGCCCATTACAGTATACTAACACATATATATGGAATTTAGAAAGATGGTAATGATAACCCTATATGCAGGACAGAAAAAGAGACACAGATGTATAGAACAGACTTTTGGACTCTATGGGAGAAGGCGAGGGTGGGATGATCTGAGAGAATAGCATTGAAACAAGTATACTATCAAGGGTGAAACAGATCACCAGCCCAGGTTGGATGCATGAGACAAGTGCTTGGGGCTGGTGCACTGGGATGACCCAGAGGGATGGGATGGGGAGGGAGGTGGGAGGGGTGTTCAGGATGGGGAACACACGTAAATCCATGGCTGATTCATGTCGATGTATGGCAAAAACCACTACAATATTGTAAAGTAATTAGCCTCCAACTAATAAAAATAAATGGAAAAAGAAAAAAGAAAAAAAAAGAGTTCCCTGTGCTATATATGGTAGATCCTTGTTGGTTATTAATTTTAAATATACTAGTGTG